TGCTTGTCAAAAAATGGTCGCCATTTGAAAAATAATAGTTAGACACGAAAATGTTATTTTGTAAACTTGTCTCATTCATATTCAACACACTAGTCACTAAAACTCCGCTATTGCAATTTTCTGATATCACCTGAGGTCCATAGATTAGTTTACGTCCGATCATGGCCACCTAGATGCAATTTTAAAAGTGACTCTGAAAAAATCAAGTAGGCTGAAAAACTTCCGGAAATGTCAGTTTCTGATCCAGAATTGTCTCAGAAATCCAAAAATGTTACAATATACAGGGTGTTCCATTTAAAAATTCAGAACCGGAGCCATTTCCGCTGAAACCGGAAGTGACCGGAAAGTGAAAAATATGTGAAAACATTCCTCTCCACATACCATTCAAGTATACCAAATCTCATTTCAATTCACCTAATAGTCTAGAAATTATGACTTGTCTAATAGATTCGTTGACACCCGGTATGGCTTAGATCTTGCTCGGACAGATTGAGTTCCAAAAAAGATTTAATTTATCCGTTACGATAGAGGCGAGGTTTTCGTTGTTTTCCACTTCAAGGCCAAATACAACAATATTATTTTTCCTAGACTTCATTTCCAAAATGGTGTTTTCTTTCTTGAGTTTATCGCACTTCTTCTCCAGCTCCACTATTCTACTATCGTGCTTCCTAATCATACTCATCAATTTCTCATTCTCACTATCTATATGTTTTATTATTCCTTGTTTGATTTTTCCATTTTCAACCTTCAGTGCATCCAGAAGTTTAGAAAATAACTTATTATTTGATAGTTTTTCACTCTCATTCATCTCTCTTCAATAATCCGAAAGTGACCTTTGGCGAAATAGTGTGCTATCCTTCATCCAGTGCGTTTTTTCTAGCGGAGATATTCACTTACAATGAAATTTTCCTATGTACACACGTGCTAATTCTGTTTAATCTGGTATTATGATGCAGGATAGCATTTGGATGTCTCCGTATGGTCAATAAGAAGTATTAACTTGTAGTTATGCGCCGCTTGCGGGAAGCAATACCAAGAAAATATCAGGTATTGTGGAAAAACAATTCATGGCATTTGCATTCCGATAATTCACTTGCTCACTGATCATTACTTGTTCGTATTTTTTTGCCCAAAAACAACACCGTGAATCATGCTTCAGCCACCGTATTCACCAAATTTGGCACCCTGTGACTATTTTCAGTTCGCAATATTGAAGAAACCTATGAAAGGACGGCGTGTTGCGACGACTGAGGAGATAAAAACCGAATTGCTGAAAGAGATGAAGGACATACCAAGAAGTTCATATCAGAACTTCTTCGAGAATTGAAGAAAACGCTGGCACAAGTTTATATTCGAGCGAGTCTAATTTGAAGGTTAAAAAATAGAAGTTAATGAATAAATGAATATTTTTTGAGAAAAAGAAATGAAAATTCACTTCATGTTTCGACCAAGTCACAAGTTGTCGAGTCAGTCATTTGTCAGTCTACGTATGAGTAGGTTCAACATTATATACAAAATAAGTCACCAACAGAAGTTACTATCATATTTATAGTAATGATGGTTTCATCTTTGAGAAAAGGTCAAAAGGAAGTGTGTAAAAAAGCACGAAAATCAGGTTAAATAATAATCTTACCTAAGTTTCTTTGGAAATAATCCCAGAATTCTGGAAAATCGCCTTCATATCCTTGGGTTCTATATAATCTATTTAAGTGATAAAATGATACTGCTACATCTCTGGGATTCCTAGCGACGTATATGACCTGAAAATAAATATTTTGTCAGTATTCTCAAATTTCTGAGCGGGAGTATGGACATTTGTGTGTAATTTCGGATAGGTTTCCGCGGTCAGGAATTTCGTATACTGTAGTCCGGGTATTGAATTCTTGTTTTTCTTTCAATAAGTCGTTGATA